GGACTTGTATTTTCCTAAATTAACTCATTGTCTAACTTTTTTTTTTTTTTATTTCCTCATATAGGACCCTGTGGGCACTGAAATCCAACTCACCCATGCCTATTTCCTGTAATGGATGAACTTGATGCTAATGTGAGGTATATTATATTTCTGTATATACTGTAATTATGCTGCTGTAAATTACGGCCATTTGAACTATGAAGCCTCTGAAAAATCTATTGTGGTAGAGTTACAAATCCAAGAGATGTGGATTTTCTTCAGTGTTTCATATATAATCATGAGTGTGATGTTGTTTATTAGAGGGTTTTTTTTTCATTTATGCTTAAATGATAAATATGATATGGCTGGAAATATTTCCAGGTGCTTTTCCAAAAGTCTGCATTATGAGAGGTGGTGTAACATGAAAATAGATATTCATCTCTATAATAGGAAGAAAGAATTTGTATTTAAATGGGGGTAAAAATAGCTTAAGAATGTCTCTCTGTACATCTAAACTTTAGATATGTGTTCAGATAGCTTTTTATAACAGGTTCTAGTCTGCCCACTTCTTTTTTCAACCGGGTCATTAGATTATGTGACATGACAGCTGCATGGTATAGTTATGTAAAGCTAAAAGGTTTGGTTTTGTTTTCCTGTCATTTCCTGCAACCCTTGGAGATCAGATAATAGGACGGCTCCTAAGGAAGATTGTCTCTGAAGGTTTGCTGCATTTTATTTCGCGCAATCAAATAGTGTGAAGAAAATTGTATTCAATAAGGCTTGAATGTTATGAATTGGCATTTGGGGCTGAGCATCAGTCGTCCATATCAATAGCTGGAAGACGTTCTGAAAAAAAATACATTCCTGGGGCAATCATGGGAGCGGGGCTTCTTTCACTTGAGACCTAGAGGAAAGCACAGTTCAGGGGCACAGTGCTTCTGTGTTTGATGTAGTACAACGCCGTGATAAAAGGGAGCTGTCAGATATCTTGACAGAAAGTCTCGTGTGATGTGACTCGAGCTGCAGAGATGTACTATCACACCCCAAACCCAGGAATTCCTTAAGGGCAGAATGTGTCTCATGCCTAATTCCTGGCACAGGGTGGATATTTAATAAAGAATTGCTGATCACCCAGTCATTATTGATATATTACATATATTTTCAATAGGATTGTGTTCTAGTATACCTAGATATGCACAGAGGCTCTGTATATTTAGCAATAAAACATTTTACACTTGCAATAGAAGCATCCTGGACTTCGTTACTTACCCGACACTCAGACTTGGGGCAAAGTCCTAGAACTTTAACACCGATTTTTTTTTTTTAAAGATTTTATTTATTTATTTGAGACAGAGAGAATGAGAGACAGAGAGCATGAGAGGGAGGAGGGTCAGAGGGAGAAGCAGACTC